GTTGAAGCCATTAAACCTGGCCTTTATACTTTTTTGTCTTTTGAACTAAACATGAAATGAAAATTGAACTGCAACATTTCGCTACAGATGATACACTATATGTGTAATAAAGCTGTCTCCACACACATACATGAGACTCATAAAACTAATCACTAATCAGTGTCACAGAATATCTTGTTAGAAGATGACAGCCATCTGTAAATACTAGGGGCTGGTCTATGCAGGAACATGTCCAGCTTACAAGGCATGTTGTCCGTCCATGCCAGAAAACAGCCACACTGGAAGGTGGGTTGAGAAGTTGGCCATTATAGAGAGGGAGGAGACCTGATGTCTTTGAACAATGGTAAAAACAGCACATTTTCAGACAGCCTCTTCTAGGCAGCCCGTAGTGTTACAGTGTTGTTTCTCTTCTAGAAGGCAGCCCGTAGTGTTACAGTGTTGTTCACAAAATGTCAAGAATGAGTGCAAGTATATGGCTGCAACACAGAATGAAGGAATGGCCATCAGCAGAACAGAAATGTGTATGACATCAAACTATACAAATGTGATGTTCACGCTTTAGTACAGTGTTAGGACGTGACCATAAGAACAGGACAGTTTTGTTTCCCTTTGACCAAGGACCGACATATGCAGTCCTCTTATTCATTTCAATAAGGCTACTGTTGGGGGCGCCAGAGAGCAGCAGCAAAAATGTTGAACCCATCTCAGCTTTTACTCAACACTAGCCTGCTTTCTTAGTACATAACTTTGTGATGTGAATGTCATGCTTCTGCCTGCTTACTGACCAAAGTAGTGGTGCATGTGTGTCAACAGGAGAGACTGTGATGACAACTTGAAGAAGAAACTGATGAAGGAGCTACATGATCTCGTCCGTGGGAAGATCAGACAGGTAACTCTCACTCAGTTTCCTCCTGTTTGACAGATTTGTGATTTTGCTTTCTGATATTGCAGGTCAAATGTGGAAATCTGAGATTTGTTGTAAACAAGAAATATTTTTACTTCCTACAATCACATCAGAATTCACTGAGTGCTTCTGAGGGGAAAAGTGTGTCTGGTTGAGATTTTTAGTGGAGGCCATTTGTTTTCCTCATGTATTCTGTCTTTATTTTATGGTCACTAACCATGCTCTGATGCCTGCAGATGGCGTTTGCTCATGACTCGGTGCGAGTGCTGCAGTGCTTCATCCAGTTTGGCAGCCATGAGCAGAGACAAGAGGTGTTTGATGAGCTCAAAGGTGAGCACCAAGATGTTTTTCCTTCATCTATTGGCTTTTTAATGGTCACTGTGTTTGTTTGTGTGGTTGTGTTTCCGTGTTTGCCGTGGAATGTGGGCTTGCATATAGCTGATACATAATGCTACCATTCCCCTCTGAAATTCCATGTGCCATGGTAGCTAGCTAGAGGCGACGGATATCTATCAGTGTGGCATGTGGTAGAGTAGTTTTGGAAATGCAAGTACAAATGCCACACACAAATTCCAGTGGTGAAACTGTTCAAATATGAGCTCTGTGACTTTGTGACAATGAGTTTTTCACCCCTGCTGCATGTGCACCCTTTATTTTAATAAAGAAACATGTCTGTTTCCCTTTTTACATCAAGGTCTAATCAGTAGCATTTGATACATGAATGTGATGGAGTTCAGTTCCTGCTTTTATATTTGTGATATACATGTAGTGCATGTATTTAATTAACTAACTAATTACTAATGTAATTACTAGCAAGCATTAACTGTCAGTGATTTGTTGGTTCTTTCAGATGACATCATCGTGTTGTGTAAGTCACAGTACGGCAGACACGTGGTGAAGAAACTGCTGATGTACGGGTGAGTCGGCTCCGATTGGTTTCTACGTCTGTGTCGCCACACGTCTGTTGTATTGCAGTGTTTTTATTATTTTGTCCACCCCATTTAAATCAATGAGGCTAAGCTAAATAACAGTAACAGCTGCCTGTGTAATGTAGCACAGTTCAAGAGCAGCATAAACTACAGCCTCCAAAACGATCACACAGCTGAATCAGCACGTCCCTGTCAGTTTAGCCTGCAAAACTTTTAGCCTGGTACAGCTAATAAACTACAACTGAGTGTATATAGATGTAATGATGGTGTGTAATTTCTTTGCAACACAGGAACAAGGAGCTGGTTGCGGCCGTGATGCAAACATTTAAGGGTCACGTGCGCCCGATGCTTCGCCACGCCGCCGCCTCATCCATCATTGAATACGCCTACAATGACAAAGCTGTGCTCGCACAGAGACAACTGCTCACTGAGGAGCTGTATGGGAACATCTTCACTATCTGCAAGGTTCGCAACCCCCCCGCCTGCATATTTGTGCATCATTTCCTCTGATTCACATGTTCGTTTCTCCTTGAGCGCTACCGATGGGCATGTGTCTGTGGTTGAAATGGTCTGGTTTTTCAAATATCTACTGACTAATTGGCTGTGAACATTTCTCTCCCTGTGTGTCCAGTCATCAGTGTGCAACACCATTGACAAAGTCGCAGAGGCAAACCCAGACAAGCTGAACAGCATCATCGATGAGATGAAGCAGATTCTCACACCCATGGCCCAGAAGTAAGAGCAGAAAACCAAAGAAGATGAGGGTAGTATGAGATGAGAACTAAAGTGAAATGAAGTACAAGCAGCCACAAGCAGGGAAGCAGTAACCAGAGTCAGTGCAACAGTTGTCAAATTAAAAAAAAAAAACAGCGTGTTTAATAACTGTTGAATTGTTTTAAGTGGTTTTCAAGTAAAACAGAAATTCTTGGGTTCCAGCTTCTCAAATGTCAGATTTGCTTCTTTAGTGTTTATAGCGTCACAAATTGAATGGCTTTAGTTACTGTCTTTCAGAGAACAGGTGATCAAACACTCTTTGGTCCACAAAGTCTTCCTGGACTTCTTCCTGTTGGCACCTGACAAACAGAGAACGGTGAGCAGCTCTGACATCTCACATACAGTGGGATAATTACTGGTATTTGTCCAGGAGTACATTTCACTAGTATTGATCTTATAAAATAACACTATTATTAGTTATTATTATTATCCACTAGTTGATTTACTAGTGACTGTATTTACCACTAATGGGCTCCCTCTTGTTGTTTGTGTGTGTTCTCATGTAAACAGGAGATGATAGAGTCCATCAGAGAGTCTGTGGTTTACATGGCTCACACACACGATGGAGCACGTGCGGCAATGCACTGTCTGTGGCACGGGACAGCCAAGGTGTGCAGACACACACACTCATATAGTGAAAACAGACACACACATCATAGCCCTGTGTTTTATATTGTTTAATAAAGATACACTGGTTTGCAGCCAGGCTCCAACAGAGAGATTACAGTATCACACTGATGACAATGAACAACAGTCTACAGTCAAACGTACAAAAGATAGGAGTATTAGGAATATGTAATCATTGAACATCAAGCCAAAATAACTGTGCATTTGTTGGCAGAATGCAGTTCAGGTGTGTAGGATGAAGTCTGGATAGAGCCGTCTGTTGGAGTAGACTGTGTGACATTTAACAACATACAGTGTATTGTCTGTCTAACGTCATTGTTCATGTTCCAGGACAGAAAAGTCATCATCAAAACAATGAAGACGTACATGGTGAAGTTTGCCATGGTGAGTTTTCAATTACTTGTAAACATCAACAGTTTTTAAAATTAAAATTTAAACAAAACAAATGTATAAAAATAAAATACTGTTGCAAACTCCAGTCTGCCACTTAATATGTTAGTGTGAAATACTGATTTGAAAAAATGTTCTCCTCACAAAATAAGCCTACTGGTAACTACTATTAAATACTGCATCTGGTACACATCTGCACTGAACCTAAAGTCCTGTACCAAAACGGTTTAGTACCAATACGTGTACCAATACACTCCATTCATTCGTCATTAACAGAAACAAGTGGCCAGTATTTTATGAGCTCACTGGGTTTTAGGAAAGATCAGACCCTAAATTCTGATTATTTGAACTAAGGGTAAATATTTAGCTAGGATTGTTTAAGGGTTTACTGATGTAAAGAGTCAAAGTGAGACTAGGTCCACAGTTTAAAAGGAGAGAAACATCTCAGCACAAGCATCAGTTGAGACTCTTGTTTCAGGAGCCTACAATCGCTTTTAAAGTCTTGTTGTTCATGTGTCAGCTGTTGAATCTCCTCAGGCTGACTGTCATTTGTCCTCAGGGAGAGTTTGGTCACCTGGTTCTTTTGGCCATATTCGATTGTGTGGATGACACCAAGCTGGTCAAACAGGCAGTGCTCTCAGTAAGTCTGACATGGTTTGTTGCTACTCAGTGGCTGTGTTCCATTTGCCCGTGCCGGCATACCGTTTGTTATGCAGTGGTGAGGGCGGGGAACGCACCCACTGATAATCCTAATGATTTAAATAGGGACTCCACTTTTGTTACAAGTATGATGTGCAAAATAACTGAAAGGAGGTGTGAACTCTGCTGGGGTTATTGCCTTAAAAATCTCGTCTCACCTGTGCCCCACCTGTTTAGGAGATCTTGTCGTCCCTAGATGAGGTCATAAGTAATAAATATGGCAAGAAGGTTCTGTTGTATCTGCTGAGCCCCAGAGACCCGGCCCACCTGCTGCCAGAGATCATCAAGGTGCTGGAGCAAGGAGATGGAAACACACACAGGTAACATCTCTGAGCACATGTCCATGTTGAAAAACATGGTCTATACAAAAATGATAATGATTACTAGTGTCACAGCTGTCAGGACAGAGAGGAGCAAAGTATGATGTGCATAGCCACATAGTACAAATGACCATGGTCTCACTTTTGAGTGGAAAATGATGGAGCCCCACGGTGTTCAATATTAAATAGGTCATCATGAAAGAAAAGATCACATTTCCTTAATGGAATTAATCAATCTCAACACACCCTTGCTTTTCCTGCTCTGAAATGTCAAAAGGATGGATTACCTTCCTGTAGCAGGTTTTTACGGGTTGATTTTATTAGACATGAACTAAGAGCTGCTTGAAGGAAGGAAGTCGACCAGTCACAGTGATAATCAGCTCCACCTTTCTGTCATCAGTAAAAAGGACGCAGCGGTTCGGAGGAGGGAACTGCTGGAATTCGTCTCCCCCCCACTGCTGGAATATCTCCGTGACAACGCCGCCACCATGGCCATGGACAAGGCGACCAGCGTCACCATTAGCGACATCCTGGCATCAGCCTGCGGGGACCTGCGGCCCGCCATGACCGCTGTGGCTCAGCTGGCCAATCAGGAGTTAGTGCCAGGAGGGACCAAGGGGCAGGTGTGTGTCTGAGAAGTGTGACAGTTCATTGTTGATTAGTTTTGAATTAACAAATATAGAAATAAGCATAAATGTAATAATTGGTTCCTAATAGCAGAACGATGAAAAATATGTCAACAATTGTAAACAGTTAGTTGTTATACTCAAGTTGCTTTTCGATAAAATCTCTTCACTGTTCACTGAACAAAATACAGCAAAATTCTCAGTTGTGTAAACACACGCAACCATCCAGGTTAAAATAGCACATTGATATTTTAAATCTAATGTCTGATCAAACACGTGAGCCAGATTATGAGTCTGATCGATGATTGAAGTATGGAGGTTTGGTACACGGTGCGGCACATTCCCTTTTGGCTTCATGTTGTTCATGTTTGTCGGGTGAGTCTTTGTGAACTTAGTGATTTTATTTCCTCTGTAGCTCCACATGGCAGAGCATCCAGCAGGACACCTGGTGCTGAAATGGCTCATAGAGCAGGACTTGACACTGGCAGAGGCCGGTAAAGAAGGTAACAACACGTGCATGTCATGTATGGACAGCTGATGCAGTGCTCGTTATATGCATGATGACTGTCAGCGGACCTAATTCTGGTTTATACTGTGTGTGTTGGCCTATTCATTTCACACTTGAAGTCACTGAACAATTCACTATTTTTGTTTTTGTCTTCAGTTAATTAAATTTTTTGTTGCATTAAAACAGATTTACAGATAAGTCTGACTAATTGTTAACTGATCTGACGACTTGTATGCAGTCTAGTGTAATTCTGGAAATCAGTGGTTTCACTTGTGCAGTCTGCTAGTGAGCCCCACTTATACCTAATGTTTTACATACCACACGTTTAAGTTGTGTAAACAGTGTTTCCATATTGATGTCACTTTGATTTCTTTTAGTATTTTTGTGTCGCATAAAACAAGCAAGAACACGCAATTTCTGTCACCTGGAATAGAAAATAGTATCACAAGAAAAGATGATTGGATGACAAAACGTAGAAATAATGTTACTCTTGTGACTCGCACAAAAGTTCAGGAGTTTTGAAAGTGTAAAATGACTGAATGACTACAAGAAGGAACCAACATGAGTAAAAGTGAGCCATGGCCCAACAACCCAAGTATTTTGAAACCAGTCCAGGTTTTTAACAGAAGCGTAAGATTCTTGGTGAAGGAAAATAAGTTAAATAGAAACAAGTGCAGCCTTTTTCTCCTGTATCTCTCTCACCCCACCACAGAGCGCTTTGGCAGGATACTGGTGGACACATTGGGAACAGAGAAGCTGAAGAGCTGGGCCAAAGTCAACAGAGGAGCCATGGTGCTCTGCAGGTCAGTGTGTACACACACAAACACTCGTAAGACGGTCAGACTACACAATACAGCGCCCTTAATTAAAGGGTCAGTTAACCCAAATCACTAAAAACTCTCTGCTGACAGCTCACACACCAACCACCTCTCTGAAACCGTTACCTGTGTTTTTATGCGCAGCCTCCTGAACAGCTGTGACAAGTCTGTGGGTGCAGAGGTGAAGGCAGCACTCCAGTCCATCACCTCAGAGCTCAGCAGCATCAGCAACAACAAAGGAGCTGAAATCCTGCTGGAGAATCTGAACAAGTAGACACTTTTTATTTACAACCAACTGCAGATGTCGAAGATGACATAAAACCCCAGCACAGGGGCTTTTCTAGGAAACACCTACCAGACTGCAGCTGTTTAAAGCTACGATGGGAACTTGGTCAGAAAGTGGATACAGCCTGAAGCACCGTTGTGTCATTCCAGACACTAATGGAAAAATGGGTGTTTGGAGGAGGAGGAGGAGGAGATGCTACAGTATCTGAAGGAAGAAGTGAAAAATAAAGATTATGTGTATTAAATCTTTTGACCAGGCAACCTTTAACCTTCACGCTCCACAGATGAGCTGAAACTACTGTTCTTTGAACCAGCAATGGATTCTCTGTGGAAGCCCAAAGCTTACAATGATTAATTAAAATTTTTAATGGATATTCCACTAACAAAGAATTTTCAGTGTCCAAGCTAAGGCTGCAGTGGTACACTGGTTTCACAGCGGTCAGATCCTGCTTTTACATCAGTGCACAAGGGATAGTAATAATTATAGTGCAACTGTAAATGAAGACTGTTGTGAGGATGGCTTTAGAGGAAATGTGTAAAAGAAAAAAGGTGAATACAGTGTTATTATTACTGATAGAAATGACAAATAAAAACATTTGTAATGACCTGTAATTTTCCTATCACAGCGGAAGAACACACACCACACAGCACCACCTCATCTGTGTAACTGATGTCAGTGCTCAGTCTTGGTGTACTCGCACTAATTCAAACACACATCTACCTTATTAACTAATGTCCCCCACACAGCTCATTCACGATATCTGTCACACACACCTGGACAACCTGCTATAGTCCTATTCCACAGCAGACATTTGGACTTGTTACTATTCAAAAAGCACAGGTGTTACTAATAACATTAACAATTGCTCTGTGCTGTCCCAGTGGGCCGGTGTAGCAGTGAGCCAGTAGGAACAATACCAGGACACTGAAACTGAAGCAGATAAATGGAGTTAATCCATCTCTGTTTTTTCCACTGCTTAGCTGGAGTCAGTCATCCTGATGTACTTAAACTTCTTCGTTTAGGGCACCAACTCACTAACCAATGCGGTTTCTGACAGAGAACCATGGCCTCGGGCTATGTGGTGTTGGATCTCATCCCATCTGCTTCACACTCAGCTGCAAACAACCCCAGTGTGTGTCGCCGGTGATGAAATGAACAGAACCACATCCTCTGCAAAAAGCAGAGAAGCGATTCTGAGGTCCTCAAACTGAACGCAGTCGTCCCCTCGACTGCACCTCAGGATCCTGTCCACCAAAATCACAAACAGGATCAGAGACAAGGGCCAATTTTAGCAGAGGCCAATATCACAGGTACACATTTTGACTTCATGTCGAGAATACAGACAACTCTGGCTATGTAGAATAGTAATGGTGCTGCAACCCCACATTACTGCAATACCTCAAAGACCCACTGAAGGATACAAGTAGGCCTTCCCTAAGTTTACAAAACACATGTAGACTGGACTGGCAAACTCCTATGACCTCTGCAGTAACCGTGCAAGTGTGAGAACCCAGTCCACTGCCCTATGGCCAGGACAGAAACCGTACTGCTTGCTTTATGGTGACATAATAAAAAGGTGGAGTTTCCCAGCCTTTCTCCCAGTGCATGCTGGGGTAAGTTTAACAGGAATATATGGGTGTAGAAGATGGATAAAAGGGAACGAAACTAAATATCCCCCTAAAGAACAATGCAACCACCGTGATTCCTGCAGGCTAGTTATGTCACAAGATATGAATGGGAAAAGTCAGCAGTGTACAAGAATGTCCAGTTTATTTCCAGCTCCATTACTCCACAAAGTGGCAGTTTCAGTGTCCATTCCACTGAAAAAAACCCAGCATAGGATCCTGTGATGCCATCAACAAGCCTCTGAAAGGACTGTTCAGCATATCCATGGTCAGAAAGGCTTCTCTCAGGATGTTCATTTTCCAGACTGATCTTACTGTCGTTTCAGAAATCTAAAACATAGCTCAATACAGCTGGGACGTCCTTTGCTGAATGGCATCCTCACAGTACCCAGCCAGCTTTTTTTGCTGCCCTTCTGGTGAAGTGCATCTTCTCACGGGCCCTGCTGATGGCAGTGCACTCATGGGACTTGAGCTTGGTGTAGTACTCGGAGAACTTGTTGTAGAGGATAGAAATGGGCATGCTGTTGAGGATGATGCCGAAGGCGATGCAGGCGAAGGCGAAGATACGGCCTAAGTTGGTCTCTGGAAGCATGTCACCATAACCCACCGTGGAAATACTCACCTGAAGATTGAAAGTGACACAGAATGAAGGATACTGACAATAAACACTCTAAAAAAAGATGCTGAGAACAAGTTAAAATATTGGGCTTACATTGGTTTTATTTGCTTAATATCTATAACAACTTTTACAGTGTTTTATTCAGTAAATATGCAGAAAAGGTTAATAAATTATGAAACTGACAAAATGATGCACTGTGTGGGAGACAGTCCTGGATGCTTCTCATAGAAAAGCAACATAAACACTAGATAGAGGGGAGGGGGGGATCATACAGCAATTGTGGCCTCACTGTCTATATCTGGTAGCTAATCTTGAAGCACCAGAAATAGACTCGATGCACCAGTGATTTTATTAGAGGCTTTTTCAAACACTATTTTTTTTGTTTTTTTTGTAAGAGAGGATTTCATGAATGTACTACGACAAGTATATGTAGATGTGAAGTAAATAAACTACAATAACAACTGAGGTAAGTTTGGAGGAGAAACTTACTGAGTTTCTCCACAATTACTGTCCATTTATATGAAGATTCTTCTGCTGTGATCAGTAAAGGAGCCTATTTTGGAGTTCTTTGGAGTTGTTTATGTTGTGCAAAACAGTACATTCCCAAGAAGACTGGTGTTATCCAAGGATAATTTGGATTTAATTTGCCCCCTAAAGGACACACGTGCAGCCTGTGGAGATGCATTGTTAAAACTGTGTTTGGACAAAACTCACTGGTGAAGGGTGTTTAGTGTTTAGACAGCTGAAATAAAAAAGACTGCTTCTAGCTGAAAGTGATGGGTGCAGAGCCATTAGAGAGATTTTACTGTGGGTACCAGACAGATGACAGAACAGGTTGGAGAAGAAATAGAAAACAAACTGTATGAATGTTTGTGTGTACATATAGACTCACAGTGGCCCACCACCATGCATGTGGCATGGAGGTGAAGTTAGTGTTGGAAACGTCATGCTCCACAGTGTACACCATGGCTGAGAACATGAAGATCCCCATGCTGATGAAGAGCAGTAAACAGCCCACCTGCACAGACAAACACATTGTATTTTGTCCTCAAGTTTTGTCCCTATTTTGCTCATAGCTGTGACATGCGCACGTCTTAGAATCATTATGCCAACATGCATCCATGTACTGTGAACATTTCTTCTTCTATGTATCAAATTCTCATTAGATTTGTAAACACCTGGATGAGCCCAAGTATGAAAACAGAAGTGAATAATTATAATTAATTTGTTATAAATGGATAATATGCCATAAGCTGCAGGTTCAGTGTCTGACCTGCTGGTAGCACCGTCTCAGTGTAAAGCCGAAGGCTCTGAGGCCTGTTGAGTGACGAGCCAGCTTCAAGATTCTGAAGATTCGCATCAGACGCATGATCCTCAAAACCTGACCCACCTACAGAGGAAAAAAAAGGGCTAATACTTATGTGAGACAAATCAATCTAATGTAATGGTTTCACCCTAATGTGGAGTTGTCTGTTTCTAATCATATCCTCTCCCATCAACCCCCACTGCATCCTGTTTCCCACCTTTCCAACACGAGCTACAGTCTCGATGTCGCCTGAATACAAGTGTATGTCCTCATTCTGGAAATGCTCCAGGATCATCTGCAGGTAGTGCGGCAGGATGGCGATCAGGTCGACGGCGTTCAGCATGCTGCGTCCAAAACTTTTTAGGTCAGGGGTGGACACCAGGCGCAGCAGGTACTCCAGGGTAAAGAAAAAGATGCAGAATGTCTCAACGTACTCGCCATAGCATCTACCACTGGGCTGGCCCGACGCGGTCTGGAATAGGAAAAAAAAAAAAAAAAAACAGAAATCCTGCTTTGCTTGATGGATTTATGACTCCACATCAGCACTGATGGCATTACTGGTTTTACTGTGTGCGGCAAAAACTGGCCCAGGTCCGCTTCTAGTCTACTCACTTGTTTTCCAGTGACTGTTAACATTAAAGGACCATTTTGCATAATAATCATTTGAGCAAACATATCCCCTATGCTTGCCATTTTCCAAAGCATGGTAAACATCAGATTCAAATGAAGACTTGAAGTAATCTGCACAGTACACATTTTACTTCTAGGTGTACTGTAAACACACCTTGTACTGCATCTCCTCTACGGTGTTGAGCGTCATGGCAACCAGAGAGACCAGCACGAAGACGGAGGCGGCAACCCCCATCAGCTTGGCGGTGACAGAGGAGAACGGCTTCTCCATCAGGTTCCAGATTTTCCTCCGGGTCTCCCCAAAGGCCATGTCATGAAATAACAGCTCGGTCTCTTCCATCTCCATCTGAAGGACACAGGAAAGAAACTGACTCACAATAGAAACAGGAAACATTTTTCTGGCAAAAAAGTGGCCATATTTAGTTCTTTTCTAACAAATATAACATTTCAGGTTGTAAGAACACAATGAGTAAAAGCTACATATGTTAAAAAAGAATAAAACTAAATCATCAAAAAAAAAAAAACCTCCCATCATCCAAATAGCATTTTCTCCATAGTCCACGGAGACATCTGTAAACCAGGTCAATTATCACTCTGCATTTGGTTGTTTCTCCTCTATGAAAAGAGCCATTCACCAGATCACCACTTGTTCTGATGACAAGTCTGCACAGGTCATTACTGATTCAGTGCTCCTCTGCATGCTTCTCTACATTCCTTACAAAAATGTAAAGTGCACACAGCCAACCCACCTCTGCCATCAGCTGCCTCTGTATTTTCAGCTGCTCATTCAGCTCGTCCTGCCTCTCTTCAAAGGAGATGCGGCAGCAGTGTGGACTGTTTTTGATTCGGATGCCCCAGTAGTTAATCTCCTCCAGGAAGTTGTGAGGGCACAGCTCATCTTTAATCCACAACAATCCAGTTCTGATGGAGAGGACACAAACAAGGGAATGGTGTCCAGAATTATTCCAAACGGACAAAAAGAGGTGAAGTCACTGTGTAGACCTTTGACTGCACAAGTGTGTGGTCTGTTTCTGAAATGATTCATCTTTGGCGTTATAAATCCAGCTTTTAGACCTCTGGCTCAGTGTGTAGGGATTCAAGGTATTGCTCCTAAATGGTTTCAGTCATATTTGACTAATAGGACTTTTACAGTAAACACTGGTGAGTGTTCATCTTATGCTGTCCCTCTCTCCTGTTGGGTCCCCCAGGAGTCAGTTCTTGGCAGAGCTCTTTTCTCATTGTATATACTTCCACTGGGGTCTATCTTAGAAAAATATGGGTTTCACTTTCCATTGTTATGCAGATGACATTCAAATGTATTTAACTTTAAGATCTACAGTAGAAGAGGTACTTCACTACAGTCACTGTTTGAGGGACATCAGAATGTGGCTGGCTTTAAATATTTTACATCTTAATGAAAATAAAACAAAGTGTGTGCTGTTTGGTAACTAAGGTCCTATAACTGACCTTGATCTTGATTTTAGCCCCTGCACCTAAAACCCACGGTAATAAATATGGGGGTGTTATTTGATACTGAAATGAAAATTTATAAACAGATCGATTCAGTGATTCAAGCTTTTTCCAGCCGAGATTGTTAAACAAAGTCGAGTCGTTTCTTTTACTGATTTTGAAATAGCAATCCATACTTTCATTAGCTCTAGATTCGATTATTGCAATGCACTATACTCCGGAATTAATCAGTCTTCCCTTTCATGTCACCAACTGTTTCAAAACGCAGTTGCTCTGCTGACAAATACTCGTAAGCATGGCCACAGAACTCCTGTTCTGGCTTTTCTCCTCTGGCTTCCAATACATTTTAGGATTTTAACTTACTTGTTTTCAAGGCACATAACGGATTGACCTTTTCTCACCTCATTGAACTGGCACAAGCCAGTTGGATCCCTTCGGTCATCAAATCAGTTTCTTTTAAGATGCACTGAGGAATAGTTGCAAGTGCTGGAGTGATCGTGCTTTTGTTGTAATGGCCACAAAACTATGGAACAGTTTACCTATTACTATTAGATCTGCTTAAAACCTATTTAGTTTTATCGTCTCTCTCTTTATTTTTATGTAGCCTGTGTGAAGTACTTTGGTCAACAAGTTATTTTATATGGCTATATAAATAGATTTTGATTTGATTGGAGTTATATCTCACCTGTAAAAGTTGAAGATGTTGTGGAAGATTCTGGGATCTCGATCAAAGAAGAACTCGTTGCTCTGGACAATGTAGTCATCACACAGGTCCAACTTCAGGCTATGGTCTGTGCACGTGGCCAACCGGCCGATCCGTGTTTTAGGGTACTTGGCAGCTAACCTGTAGGGAAGGCGGTACACCTGGAGAAGAGGTAGAAGAGAATAAGGTAAACATACAGTAAGAACAAAATAAATTGTAGCAAGAGAATTTGAACCATATTGAAAATGTAAAAGGCTTTTGGAATGTCGATCTAACATAGGCTATTTAATATATCTGTGACCAAGGCTGTGATTAAGTTATTTGCATCATATCTTAATCTGTTGATATTTTATCTATTATAGTGGTACAGTCTATAAAAGACTCACAAACAACCTAGTAGCCTTAAAAGTATTCCCTACAAAACAGCATTGAGAAACGTTAGCTAGAAACATGTTTGATATTTTTGCTTCATGAATGAGAAAAACAGCTAAAACCTTTACAAAATTAGTGAATTAGTTTACTGAGTTCAATTACACTTTCATTTCTGCAAAAGAAACACCAGCTCACTGGCCACAAACTGCAGCAGCTTTCCTCCCTCTGTGCCTGTTGGAGGTGAAATCCACATATCTACTGTACATCTGCAGGTCGACTACAGGTGGTGCTGGTTTCCAGCTGTAGGACTGATCTGACAATGTCTGAACAGCTCCTCCAGGTGAACAATCCGCAGTCTGCTACATGTGAATGAGGGACTTAGTAACTCACTTCCAGCTATTCCAGTCAAGTCCTTCATATCTAATAATAAAAAGGTGATATCAGCCTGGGCTTGAACATGCTAATCTACTGAAGCAGTATGTCTGCAGAAGTTCAGTGAAGTTACCGTTCCTCCTACGTTGATGTTGAGACTGCAATGTTTGGTCGGAGAGAACAGCAGGTGGGAGGGAGACACCTGGAATTGATCCTCCTCCTCGTCTTCATACTCCGCATAAAGATCATAGATGTCTCTGCCTAGGTCCTTTACAAATAAAACAAAAGCTTTATTTTGATTATTTTTTATTTTAACCTTTTATACAATATGGAACTAAGCATAATTAAAAACTAGGAATATATTTAAAAAGCAAATACTTAACATAAAATGGAAAAAAAACTGAAATTGTTAAAAATTAGAAGTGACAGTTTCTCAGGAATTTCAATCTCCTATTGTAGATACAGCTGTAATCAAACATGGTGCAAACATAACTTTTCTGTATTTCATTTTAACACTTTAAAACAGACAAATGAGAAAACAAAACATGAATAAAGTGTCTGACCTGCACGGAGTTCATTTCTGAAAGGTGCAGATGAAGTCCAGATTTTCATTCGGTTCCTTGATGGCTTGAGTCCAACAAACGCCTGCTACAGGCTCTGAGGTGAGTCAACATGCTCATTGCTGTACGTTTTTGAAATCTAAAATTCATTAACTTGCATAGAGAGACAACTAATGCACATACACACACACAGTTGGCATCTTGCACATAACACAAATCCAGAATCACACAGCCCAAATGAGCAGATATGCATATGATAAACACACACACACAGCACACACACTGACTCAGCTGTGACAGAAGTGGAGACACCCACAGTAATGAGGTAGGAAGTGACTTGCTGTGTATTGCAGCTGGGTGCTTAAGGTTTTAAATACTATTATCCCCTTCCATCTCGTGATCTCTCTCTCCCCCTTTCCTCTTGCCAACTACAATTCTGATAAACTAGAGCTCAACATCCATCCATCCATCATCTATACCACTTATCCTGAGAGGGTCACAGCCTGGACAGTCACCAGTCTATCACAGGGATGACAACCACACACACTCCTACAGGCAATTTAGAGTCACCAATCAACACAGAAAGGCACCTGTTCAGCTCAGGCTCAAACCAGAACCTTCTTGCTGGTACTTTGAACTACACGCTAATTATGCTCTTAGTAACAACGCTGACAAGCTGCTGATGGTCCATTCCAGTCCTTCCTGTTCAGTATCTGTATGTAGACATGACAAAATTCAAATTCACAAATTTTGATATTTCAGCCCAGACTAAAGTACAGACTTTACAATCCACAATGCATGGCAAAAGTTGCATTCTACCGAAAAAAAAAAAAAAATCCTGAAACTTATACCCATAGGAATTTCTTTGGAGATATTTTGTCTTAAAGATAAAGATCAGGTGGCTTCTAAGGTTAGGGTTAACCTTAGTATCAAGTTAAGATCTAGTTCTTTTCATGAAGTAGAAACCACTGAAGTCAGCTTAAAAACTTTAAGACATCATAAACTGAAGATTATCCTGTCAGTTTGGGAAATTTGGGTTAGGTCAGTTAATGTAAATTTCTAAAATAAAAAACAAACAAACTTGGGTTTAAATGTACAACCAAGTATTTTTTAGATGCAGACTGCAACAGAAGCCTGTCCTTTACATCCGACATCTGCCTTAATCCTAGCGCTTCAATACATTTGATAACTCAGATTGGTGAGGTTAATCCTTCACCAGAATAATGAACACATTGAGCCAGATTTGTTCCAATTACACTGACCTAAGGCCGTTACCTCATCTTTACTCACTTTGCCAATGTCACAAACCCACCTACTCCTGTTTATCCCCAGTTGCCATGATCCGGCAGATGAGACAGAGGCAGCAAGATTAAACTGATACAGAAGGCAAGGAGTGGTTTCAGTATAACCCATGTAGGTTTCACACCAAATCATTTCCCTTATCTGGATACCACAGTAAACCCTCTTGGAATGGTTCCATCATAAACGTTTGAATTAGTCCAGAACTCTGATTTATTACCATTCCCTCATCCATTTGTTTCATATCCGTTTGAATTAGTCCAGAACTCCAATTTATTACCATTCCCTCATCCATTTGTGAAGACACCAATCGTGCAGTAATCACATGCTTGACAATGAAAATCAGCCTTGGACCAAAATGCACAAAAAGCATTTGGCCAGGTGTCTGAAAGGGGTTTTAGCTACATAATGCATTTGCACATCTCAAATGTGTAATCAAGACAGGGCACAGTTTTGAACAATGTTGTAGATTAGGTTTTATTTCTGGATTTGCAAATTGTTTCTTCACAGATACACAGCTGTTAAGTTTGTGTTCCCCTCACTGTACAATGCTAGAAAATGTTCACAGCAACAGCACACAAACATACAAAATAGTTTTACCAAAGTCAGTTTGTGTTTTTATTTCATGTTAAATACATCTGATCCAACCCTGGTACAATGCCCAACCATAGCAAAAAATTTCTCAAGTCAAATGTATACAATCTTATTTACACAACATTTGTTCAAAGTGCATTGGAGAGTCCTGATTGACAGTCATGTCTGAGGGATGGGTCCATATGTACAATGTTTTACAAATGCCAACCATTGTGATACTTGTACCACTTCAATAATAATGAAAGCTGCTTGTTGTAGGAAACAACCCACAAAAATTAAGGAAAACTTACATCTTTAACATACTGCAGCCCAAACATGATCGTACATAAATATTCACACATCTGAGCCTATTCAGAGGAGTAAAGAAATAGAGCCTTGAACCCAATGTGTTGGATACTGACAGCTCAGATCCTGCCCAGCAGAGTCGATCTGTCTGTGCCATACAAGGCTATAAAAGAAAAAAAAAAAAAAAGCCGTTTTTCACCTGTTGTGAAGACTGTTGACCCCTTCCTTGGGAGAGCCCCCCAAAAAGGAAAAAAAAAATTCATAATACTGAATAAAAAGTGACAAATCATTGTAGTATTCCTATAATAAATAACATTTCCTCCAGTCATCCTCACCACAGATAATGGCATAATGCACTTCAGAAGGCATGTGGTCGTACTCTAAAGGCTGCTGCTATGGAGAACCATCGGCATGAACACCGTGTGACACTATGGGCTGCCGTAAGAAACCACTAGATCAGGACAGATCATCTTCTGTGCTCACTATTGAAATCTGGAGACAGAAAGAGGGAGAGAGAGAAATGTTAAGTTTGTTCTGTACAGTAGAAACATGATTAGCCAAGCTTAGAATTAAGACAACACAAATTAGAAAACCAAAAAGGACCAACATGTCTGAAGCTCATTACCTTGATGAATGACTAAAAATGGTTATATTATTTTAGGTGGAGTTCTGCTGCAGCTGTTATCACCTTCCGCCCCCAAGATGGAGGACTCAGAGCACTCCTTTTCCAAATGACAAAAGGAGACATTTTGGTGGGAGGTGCAGCAGCTCTCTATGGTACCTGGAGAAGATGCTAGCAAGTGCACAGGCACACTAGTTAAGCTACAGCAGTGAGGGACCCGGACAATGCTCTTGCCTATCCACCTAGCAAATTTCCATTCACTAGCCAATAAAGTGAAGGAACTGCTCATTAATCAGACCAACATTCTGCTGCTCTCTGTCATGGAGACTTGGCTCAGCAGGTCAGTCTTGGACAGTGCAATACATCTGCTGGAGTTCTAGATCCACAGAGCAGACAGCGTAATGAGTTATCCAGGAGGTGGAATCTGCTTCTACATAAATGTTGGTGTAAAGATGTCAATGTTAGGGAGAACTTGTAACATGAACTTAGAGGCACAATTCATTAACTGCAAACCATTTTATTCACTTCAGGAGTTATCCTCATTTATCCTGGTCGTTTTACATCCCTTAGGCCTGTGCCAGCCAGGTGCTGCAACACTTAGCTGACCAAATAATTCATATAGAACAGAAACATCTGGACTTTATCATCATCTTCTCACATTTTCCTACTGACTGCACATTTTGAATACAGTTTTGTTACCTTACAAAGCCTCTGTCCCAGAGTCAAATTCCTTTGGTTTCTAATCATGCTTGGCCAGTAAAGATTGATTCCATTTTGCCTTTTTGGTTCCTCCCTGTCTGAATGCAGAGAAGCAATTGCTGCAGCTGAGGGTCATGTTCATCCTGTGACTCTCCAGGCTTATGTTAATCCGTCACGTAATAAAGATGTGGCTGGCCAGCAATGCACCAAGGATTACTAAAGGCCACCATTACTAAAGGTCAGGGTGAAAGAGGGCATTAACTGGGTCAGGGTGAACTTATTTAAGCTGCATAGTTGTTCAGAAGCTCTAAAGTAACAAATCGTTTTAATCGTCAACAAAAGCTTTCTGTAAGCACCAAGAGGTGAGAAACCTATGATTAGGAGTATAGTGTGTGACTGCAGCCTCCAGATCATTGGCTGATGTTCTCCTACCCAGGATGCCCTCTGCTCTTTGGCCATTTACTTACCGCAGGATAGGTGTGTCCTACATTTGCGCCATGTCGGGTGATGTCAATGTTCAGGTCTTCCTCTGTGGTCTTTAGGTAAACAGGGTTATCAAAATTCATGCTCTTCTGGTTCTTCAGCCGCCAGTTTCTCCACATAAGGTACCCACCTGCTGCTGCCATTGCCAGCAGCACTGAGAAGGAAATAGTAAGACATCAGTAAGTCAGCATACCAAGTGAAGGGTCATGATTATAAAATGTGCATTTTTCATTTGGGGGAAGTCAGGCATCTTAATTCAAAGTTTGTGCCCTCAAACAAATCACTTCCTCAATTACCTCTAAATCTGTTGCTCTAAGCCACCCGTTTTAGATTTTGTACTCCTTTGTTCACACTTTCTCTTATACCATCAACTGGATTGAAAACAGTTTTAACTGGATGCAGCTAAAAAGTGCATCCAGTTAAATTTCCTTAACTGCATTTCAAGCTAGGATGTTAGTTTTCATTGCAGTCCAGGTTTTACTGTAAAGAGACTTCAGCAAGACTTCTTCAGTAGCATCAGGATCTTGATTTCTGGTATTTGGTCCCCCTTTCAGGAACACGTTGCTTTTAATAAACTTTGTGCACTCATAAGTATCATTTTGAGGTTTACAAGCCACAGCCTGTACAGTACATCAGACTCCTTATGTGTGATTTCTACTCACAGACAGGCAGTATGGCCCAAGCAGCAGCAGACCCTCTGGCTGTGGAATTCACCTGGATTGATGTGCTCACATTGGCTTCTGGAAGACAAAACAAGATGCTGAAAAGAACAAGAGCCACACAAGGCGTTTCAGAGTGGAGGGGGGCACAAAGACTTTGGGTACAAACACTAGTTGCATAAGCACAACATACCATCTGACTCATTTGGTACATTTGAGTTAGTTTGCTGATGCCAGTCTGGCCTTTATAAGAATTACAAGCTACTGGCCATCCTTCCAAATTATAAGACACTGCCTACCATGACGAGTCAGTAAATTGTGAATTTGGCAGTTTGGTTCCAAACTTTCAAAAATTAATGTTCAGCTTTGCTGCAACCGTGTGTAAAGAGTTGCTTTAGTTTGCTTCCAAGAACATTAGAGACTCACTGTGTTTATGAAGCAGCCCAGAGTGTTTAAGTGTCAGGAGCAAGTGACTGACATGACTGGTAAACAGCTCGGCTGAAAGTAGCAACTGAGGCTTCAGCACAAAGAGAAAAATACAGGGTTTATATAACTCCAGTGTGCTCTGCTGCCAAACATGCCTCCTCGACTGCCTCTCTGGGAATAGGAACAAGGGTTGGGGTAACTCCAACAATGTCACAATAAAGAACTTCAAGGAAAGTGCTACTACATAAATTCTAGTGGGTCCAACCCCAGAGCTGTTAGCATAGCTGTAGGCGCCTACTCTAAAGCCATTATATTTTAACAAGTTGTATGTGAAGACAAATCATCCATCCCTCAATTTCGTTCCATGTCTGTGGCAATTATCTGTAGGATTACTGTGTGATTGCCATATTTGAACCATTAGTGATATAGTGCATCATATCTTAATCTGTTATGATTTTTTTTTTTTTTTAAAGCTAGCCAACCAAACAGGAAATTTCCTAAAAAAAAAGCTGGACATTAGTTTTAACAAGTGTTACTAGTTGCATTTTCAGCTGTGTATTAACAGTTGGTGTGCTTGTGATATTTCCAGAAGTAGTATATAGAACAGAGTCAAAATAAACCTGTCTGCTCATGATGGTGAAGGAACACAGCACAGTGATTCACTGTTTTATAGTTTTTGGACAAAAATGAAGCTCCCTGACATAGCCAGCTTTAAATAAAAAGGTATTTAATAGTTCATTTGTGGCTTTAGTCTTTTGAAAAGATTGTTGCTAAGAATGCAGACTCAGTTTCCTGGTCCAAGTGGTCTATGGCAACTTGCCAAGCTCTACAAACCTCCATATTTGGGGCAAGACTGATAAACCCTCCCACCCCCAATTTGCTGGGAGATGGGTCCCCCAACTGGCACCATGACCAGGTGCTTAAGGCAGAAGAAGTCAGTCATTAAATAACACCCTAGGAAGAAGTCCATCTCAGTCTAACACAGACTATGCCTGCTTTCCACAGCCCCATCATGACAGCTGAGAGCTCAGAATCACTGGAGCAGCAAAAAGGGGTGCACATGTGCCATCACCAAAGCCACAAAAGGGCAGATCTGTGACTTGTTGCTACTGGGATGCAAGCAGAGACCATCAATGCTGCCTGGGTCACTTGGTCTGATGTTGAAAGACCCAAATTGTCAGACAATGCATTCCAGTGCATCCAAGATGCATCTCACAACCAGGTTTGCCCTTTAAGTTTTTAGGCATTTTAGTACTTTACAGCCCCTACACTAATCTGTATTTTGTGTTTGTGGAAAGAACAGATTCCTATTGAAAGTATGGATGAAGTTTGGACTTTTAACCTCCAGGATAGGCATCAATTCTTTGTGTGATCCCAAAAAAGATCACTTAGAAAAATAAGTGCATTTCAGACTTGCTGATATCCGCTACTTCTCTTGCACAACCAAGACATCTGGGATTACAATTCTGTGTGTACAGAAACAATCACATTGTCCCCATATATTTTTTAAGTGAAACTTTCAGATACAGATTGTGGATGTTTTGGGATACTTCCTTGTTTCTGCCACTAGGTGCTGCTCGAGTTGTACTCCGGTTATGCTGAACTGTGGTTCAATGTCCAGATGATCTTCCATAGCACATAATTCAATACCAACACAGAACAATAAATGCACAACACCCTGGCAGAGGAGACTTGAGTCTTCATCCTGCCAGACATCTGAACCATGAGACAACACACAGGTAAGTTAAACTAGACCAAGTACTGAGCAGGAACAAGTGTGTGTGTGTGTGTGTGTGTGTGTGTGTGTGTGTGTGTGTGTGTGTGTGTGTGTGTGTGTGTGTGTGTGTGTGTGGGGGGGGGGGGAGGCAACTCCCTGGCACAACAGATACGAGACATGCAAGAAACTGAGGGCCAGTACTTCCAAGTTCACATCACAAAACCCAAGTTCACTTTCAAGAGGCAATACATCTGTTAAGAGCCTACTGCAACTACATTGTAACCTTAGTACAAGAGGAGTAAGATCTGAAATTGCAGTTTACCGCTCACCAACTACCAAGTGTCTCATACCGTAGTAATCAATGAGCCAACAAGGGAGTGATTTCTGACAAAGGGACATGGGAGACATCTTAAGCCCAGTGTCTATAAGCCCACATTTCCGGTCAATCCGCACCATGAAGGGTTGCACTGCATTAGCTGCCATGCGTTTGCCTGCACTTTAACCATAGATGTACAGTAGTTGTGATTTTCCAAGCAATTTAATGTACATCACTTTGTTCAAAAGGTAAATAAATTTAGCAACTACTGCAGTAGTTTGTTATGCTCAAGTATGACTAGCAGAAATGTCAGGCCTAAATATAGCAAAGGAGACTACACAGACAGCTGGGGTGGAACTGAACTTTTAAAACCTCAGGCTACTTGTTATGAATTAAGCAGCAATAAACTGCCTTAAATCTTATCTGAAAGGCACCAATCTGCCACATACAAGTGTGGATCACAGCCAAGAAACACCAAAGCACAGATAGAAGTCATTAGTACAGCCACAGCTAGACAGGAAAGCCATCCCATAGACAAAAGCAGTTTTACAATTTTTGGAGGAGCTTGATTGGGCAAAAACACTGCAACCACTTCTGCAGCCAAAGCACTTGAGACAGATGTTCCCTGGTTTAAAAAACAGCCTCTGAACAAAGCCCAGCATGTTTTAAAGTCAATCATTCCAGAGACAAGCAGCAGAAAATATGATGGCCGACGGTTTTTACCTGGGGGTGGCTTTATTAGAGCTTTTTCATCATCCTTTGAGGGACCTCTGGTAGAAGGGTCTGTCAGAGAGAGCCAAGAATCATGCTTTTGACAACATCAAGCTACCGAAGTGGTCTCGTTTTTATACTGCACATATGCAAGTAGGCCTCTGAAAATAAACCTGCTCTCAGGAGACCGAGTTAGGCAACAAATGCTCACTAAATGACAAGCACCTGCAAGAAAAAAAAAAAAAAAAAAAGCTAAGACCAGACAAAACAGTCATAACACCATCTATAGTGTACAGCAGCAGCATTACATCTTCTCCTGCTTTAACATAACATTCACTCAAATGCTGGGGAAGGAAGGGACAATGCTCAGAAGCAATTTATGAAGCTATAGCATAACACAATCAGGACATCACTATCAGCATCTATACAACCAAGAAGGACAGCTGCAGCAAGGGACAATCAATACCTGTACAGACAGCAAGGCGTTTACTCGGAAATCACAGGGCCTTTAGGTCTGCTGTGTAGGAGGTAGAAATGAAGTCACATCATGCCAAACAAAACATTACACACAAATGCAGTCTAAAGCAGTTTTCAGTCCTTGTATCTGCAGCTTATTCCATTGCCAAAATTATAAGTTAGATCACTAAAGGAATACATCTCATAGGAAGCTATACATAAACCTCAACATACTATATGTAGTAGAGCTTTAGGGTTTTTTTTTTTTTGATTATACAAGAATGATATTTAAGGTCTGGGACTGTTAGGAGAAAAGGTAATTTTCATCTCAAAAAGAAATTTTGGATATTTTATTCAACCACTGAAAAAAAAATTTAAAGTCTATTGCTGCAGCCCTGTAAAACAGGGAAATTTGAGTGATGTCTAAAATGCTACTTTGTGTTCCTTTATGGCAAGTTATGGAACTAAATAGAGTTTCTCGTTTGAAGGACTGAACTTCTCTCATTCCATCCAAGTACTGTTACATGAATCCCCCTGTGGCATTTTCAGGTTCAACCTGAAGTGAAGAGCATTGATTACTTTTCTAACAAGCTTAGAGCCAGTCAAAGCTGCAACCACACAATGCCCTATAGTTCCTATATGGTACAGCTGTGAAATACGATAAATACATTAGCTTGAGGTTTAGTAAAGATCAAAATGGCCCTTTAGTTGCAGACCAATGAGGAGCATTCATTGTGTGACAGGCATCCCTTTTACTGTGTTCTCAAATTTAAATGGTACCAGAAACATCCATATAAAGACATGAGAACCCAAACATGCCCAAAAGTAGATTAAACAAAGGCAGAAGCACTTGCACTATGTAGACATACACATACAAACCAGTCACTCCAGGTGGGCATGCATTTACATGCTCAGAAACACTCCCTAAACCTTCATGCACACAGTCCAACAGTATGCAGTCTGAGATAAAAGCTGCAGAAAACCAAAAACAAAACAAAAAAAACACACACTGCATCCATCTTGGCAGTCTGGGTGGTACATTCAGTCATCACAGCAGCTGTGGAGAGCCTGGAGGCAGGTCCAGGTTCCTAAACAGCCTGTGAGGTGGTGCGTCGAGCTGAGGGATGTTCACTTTATGAAGGCAATTAACATTTCTGTAGTACAGCAGGCAGGCTGTACAAGCTACTGCAGAGCTGGCAGACTGGTGCAGTCCATTTCTCACCATACTATATGATCAGACTGGTCCCACAACCCAATGCTCTGAATTTTTCAATAAGTTCAAAGAACAGCTATAGATTACAGACATCTGCTCCCACACCTTTCCAACATAACTGAGGGGTGTTTATCTGAAAATGGCAGATTAGCACACCAACAAACCAATTACTCTGATGAGAGAAACAAAGCAACTTAAACTTTTTGTCATTTCTTCAATTGTGTGCATCATCAATGAGAACACCAAGAATGTGTTTACAAGTGTGCCATTATCCACATATTTGAAGGATTACATCTCACCACAAATTCTGTTTTATCACCAAACTACACCTAAGGTTGTAAATACAGAATGATCTTTTAAAAACAGTAATGTCAACACTAAACTTGGAACAAAAATACCAGCTGGCCTGCTACAACCCATGCCACAAGCCTCTAAGTAAACATGTTGCCTGGTACATCAGTTCCGCCAGAATTCATTTCAGCTAACAGTCACCTGAAAATTCTATTAGTCCCAGAACTACCAGACGTCATTTACTGTATGCCAATAACTGCATAAAGATGAGCAAATTGTTGTAATTTCTAATTTATCAGTGCCAAATTAGATCTGCATGCTCTATTCACAAACAGTTGAATTTCTCTTCAGTAGATTCATGCTTGCATCTGTTTGGACTCTTCATTAAACCTCAGTTAAGTAGATTAGCACTTTCAGACAGGGCCACTGGAATGTAATCAGAGCTGGAGGTGCTGTGAGTAATTCACTATTAGACAGTATACAAAATGAAAATTCACATTTAAAGCACTCCCCTCAGGTGTGGTCTTTGGTCAGATGTGTCATAAATGGCAATCTGCAAATCTGAGGTCAACCTTGACCATTCGTTCACAACTAAGTCGCAGCAGCATGTACTCTGCAATGGGATCAAGTCCAAATCCACTTATTGAATAAGGTTATGCAGTACTTTTGCTGGTTATGCATAGGTACTTGCACCATTCAATTACAGATGCACTGATTGCAATTTTCTTGGCAGATTCTGATTTTTAAGTCTGACCTGCTGATTTCACTTTTATAATCCTTGTGCATCATCAGTCCTAATGCTTTGTTGCCTTTATGCAACTTTTTATTGCGCAGAGTGGCAGCAAGTTACAGCAGCTGTGTCCTAGTTGTGTTCTTTTCCACGTTTCTATGAAGTTCTGTTCTTATGGTGTTGGTTGTTCTCTATTGCTGTTGTAACAGACATTTCCCCACTGTGGGATCAATAAAGTACCTACTCTACCAAATATAACCAACAGCAGACTTTTTTGTAACTTATTAAAAATGTATTCTTTTACAAACCAACTAAATTGAAGTGCAATATTTGTACTTCAGATATAAACAGAAGAATGCCTCTTACTTCAGTCATACCAAGCACACAACTCTTTTTGAAGCGTGTCATTTACATTTGCGGCGGGTTTGATACACTATAGATATACATGCACTTCATGTGAATTCAGCAATTCCCTCCTTGCATACTATTAAAGGTGTGTCTGTGGGCTCCGCTGTGTACTTTTTGTACACCAAGCACTTCCAGTGTGAGTGAACATGCACCTGGTATAGATAAGTGCAAGTCTCACTCAAGGTGTAGCACCTCACACACCCTTGTCTGTGCCACTGCATTCGCAACATGAACTGTTGTGCCTTTAAGTCTGACCAGCACAGAATCAGATAGTGACTGGCCGGTCACTCCTGATCTCTAGGTATATTTGAGGAAAATTGTTAAAAAGCCAACAACTAGATTGTTTCATGTAATAAGATCCAAATATGTCCATGTCAAAGATATAGTACATGAAACAAAACAAATGTGAAGCAGCAACACCGGTTAGATAAAGGAGGAAGAGAAGCTGTGAAAAAATGTCAAGAAATGCTAAAGGGGGGGAAACCCTCCAACTCACTGAATAGGGGCAAGTACAGGGAAGCCTCAAAGAGAACAGAACAGGATAACAAGACAGACTTTCATTGAGGCGGCAAGAGGACGGCACTGCAGTTGTCAGGGAGATGTTCGAGCACTCTGTGTATACCACTGTCTACAGTAGGTCTACAGAGTTTTGAGTCCAATTAGAAGAGTGTGTGCTCAATTCAGCTGTCAGTGTCCTAGCTGATGCTGCTTCAGTGTGAAAAGGCTAATCTGTGAGACAGCCCCACAGATCAGAAGCCTTCTTCAGTAACCTTTCCACAGCAAAGAGCATTATGCAGGCCAAGGCTGTACTTTGACTTAATTCAGTCATACTAAAACTCATTACACAAGTAAAACATGGTTACTTTTGAACTAAAGGCTCCAGGTCCTTTGTATTTACCTACAGCAAGCAAAATATTTAAAATTTATCAAGTGTTTGAAGACATTTTGAACTAGCAAGTCTTACTAGAAACCATTTTCATATGAAGTCAGTGAAAAGTTGAGTGAATGAGAATTTGCACCAATTGAGGTGAAGACATTTGCCCAAACAAAGAGTTAAAAAAAAAAACCACTTATTCTCACTGAGATTGGGGGTCCCATAAAACAAATCATTGACTGCATCTGAAAAATCAAGATCAAATTCACCTTCATCACAGTACCATTAGAAGTTTGTGCCAATATAGTGCTCAGAGGCCAAGAATGACTGAAAGATCCACCTTGAGAAGTGAATTCAGCTGTCAGGATGAAGACACTTTCAAACAAGAGGATGTGAGACTTGGCAAAGAGGTGCTGAAAAACCAGAACAAAACAACTACCCAGCTACTCTTCAATCTACAAAAACAGACAGCTGTGTTTGTGCCTGGCATAGACAGAAAACAAGAATGAGGCAACAAAAGGAAACATGCTTGAGTAGTGAGAAGCAGAAGAAAAGGGGAGGAGTGACAAAACTCCAAGCCAGTTTAACAGATTTAATTACAGTACAACTGGATGCGTTTTGAAGGATCATCTGCAAGAGCCCTGCTCCCTTTAGCCATCTTTTTTTTAATCAGTTATTTAAAGAGGCACATTTAACAAATAAGATTAAGCAGAGAAGATGCACCATTTGTACAGAAAAGTGAAATGCACACAAGCACCAGCAGCAGACAGAGGCTTGCCACCCATTTAGTGGTTTAACAGGTCCTGTCTGTGCAATGATATTGTTTGCATTTCACCCTACCATACAAGTCTCCCATGACGCCATCTGCACTGGCTTGAAGGCATCGAGAGAATTAAAGCCACTCAGCTGTTTTACTGCCAGCATTTACTTGAAGTTTAAACCATCCTTTTCCTCAGAATATTTGCATTATTTTTGCCTAAATTGTCAATTCTTTCTGGAGCATCAATATCCTAGGTAAAGATGCCCCCCGCCCCCCAAACTTGGCAAAATGTGGTAAACATGAATTAGTTGCCAAAAACAAAAAAAATGTTCCACTGTGGTGCAGTGACTCACCAGGTCTGCAGCGTAAGCCATCACCAGCCAGCTCTTGTCCCTCTGGACAAACACAGGTGTATTTGGGGGAGTGTTTGTTGATTTGTGGCGCAGGCAGGCACATGTAGCTACAGCCACCATTTTCACCTCTCTCTGTGCACCAGTTAGTACCTGCACACAAGAGTCACCAGCTGTGCTCAGTCAAAACAGATTAGCTTGTCACCCGTAATAACTTCAAATACTTGTAATCGTGTCAGAATCAGAGCCAAAAACAACCTCTTCGTTGAAATGAGGACAGTTCATGAACTCCTGCTGCCGGTATTGTTTCACAAGTGGCCAGCACAACAAACCACATCAATATGAATTTCTCTTCTATAGATAAACAGCTGTATATGTACCTATGAAAAGAGGTAACATCTAAACAAAGCAGGTAATTGAGAAACCCCATATTTTAACCGGCATAATGCAGACATAGCAAGTTCTCCAGCAATGGCCGGGATTTTATGCCCATTCAAGGAGATCCTTAGACCATCATAAAATTTTGTTGCTTAAAGAAAAGTCTTGCGAGAGTTTGCAAGGTGTACAAACCCAGTGTCATGTCTAAGATGATAATTTGCTGTTGTAACATTATAGACAAGTCAGAAAACAAGGAAAATCATGCCGCAGGCTCTTTAAATGCCATCTGTTGGTAGAACCTCAGGTTAGAGCCAAACAGGGTAAAGCTGCTTTTAGCTACAGGGAACCTGAAAACTTTTATGCGATTGATTCCTCTGCTGCTGCACTCTGTGGAAACCTGAAACCTACTACACTATAGTCAGCAACTGTTGATGTGCATCTGTTGCACCAGCCTCTGTTCGTTTCCCCTGCCTTGACACACTTGCAGCAGGTTCTTACCCGACAGCTGGATCAGCTCATGGTACACTATAATGTCCTGGGGGTCGTTCAGGTTGCTGGCCAGTATCACCACATCAGAGCCTGTGAACTTGTTTGCACCATAGATAGCTTCATTTTCACCATCTGTCCAGAAAACCCGATCCTGGAGAAAAAACAGAAATATCCAGTTCCTTTTTCTATTAACAGTTAAAACTTGAATAGCTATGCTGTTCATTCTTGTCCTTCAGGAACAATATTTAATGGAACCAATCTTAAAAAAAGTCTGCTGAAGCATCTCAATACAAGATCAAACTGCTGCCATGATCAGCCCATCATTTTTCTTCTTGCAATTTGCCTTAAGAGATTTGGCAGGAGTGCACCAATATTTGTTTCTGAAAGGATTGGGGGGCTTTTTTTTTTTAACACATTTAATTGATTAGCTCAGATCTTCAGTTGTGGGCAAGCTGTAGTATATAAATACTGTACAACACAGGATAATATGTTCTATATAGGGTTGAGCGATTTCACAATGATGCTTGTACTTTCTCATTATAAATCTAGTGCACTCACTTCCTTCACAGCAGTGCAATTTCTTCACCCTCCCTAAAAACCCAAACTCTGTTGGCTGTGAGGTGTGTACCTGAGCCTGAGATTCTACATAGTGGTTCACTTCCTAGCAAAGCCCATCAGCGAGTTTAAATACCAGAGGGGAGGGGGGGGGACTGACAACTACAATAGCAGATTTTTTTTTTAGGTTAAAGGCAATTTTGCTGGTAACATTTTAAATAAATGTAGGGTATCAAGTAATTTCCTCTGAACTATTAATTAGGCAAATAATGCTTCTCAGATGTAATTTGATTTCACAGACTAATATTTGTAATGTTCACCATCAAATGTTTGGCAACACAAAATTAAAGTTCACCAGAAAACCCATCAATGCATATATACATTAAGTTGCTCTGATTTAAAAAAAAAAAGTGGATTTTCTTAAACCACAAGTGTAATGTTCAATATATATATATGCACATTTCTAAAAGTCAGAACAGCACTATTCCTGCATCTGAACACCAAGAGCACCTGTGTGGTACTCACTTTGTACCTGTTAAGTTCAAAATATTATTCATACTTTGACTCATTGTTGCTGCTCTAGCAATCAATACCTGTCGTACATGACAGTCAACTGAATATTTTTGGGGTTTTAGACTGTTGTAATGGAAGTCACCTTGGACATAATGGCATTTTACCATTTTCTAAACAGCACATAAACTTCACTTCAACCAGAAAATTAAACTGTCAAAAAACATTTTGATACACTACACCATTTAATGGGTCCACCTTGATTTTCAGAGACGGGGGGGACCATTTGAAATATAGATTTAGTACCTCAAAAACAGTGAGAGCAAAGGGGTGAGCCAAGTAATCTGAAGATTGCAGTATTTTTTTCCTGTTGTCTCCATTCAGGTCGACGCTACAGAGCATGTGAAGCTTAGAATCAACCCAGTACAACCTGCCTTTGATCAGATCTGGGAGAAACAAAGAAACAGGGGATTAGAAAATTAAACAAGGTGACACAGAGCACAGGAAGATAGAGTGCAGAGCCAATGACAAATCGATGGTTTTGCTACTGTAGAGGTTGTAAATACAGGAAGAGAAAAACCAAAAAACCTTTGATGATGATCTGGTCAGGCACTTGAGATTTATAAAATGTAAACACTTGTTACCTTAGTCGTAAAATGAATCAATTTAATAATGATCAAGTGCTGAGGCTGTATTTTTCATCTTGGGTCACATTCAAACTTTCGTAGGTCCTTGGGTTCAGGAGTCACTTTTCATTGCTAAATATAACAATGGACTAACAAAATGCTACTTCAAGAAATAAAAGCTAGAAGTTTAATTCTTTGGCGTTTAATATACTGGAATTTAACAATTTGAAATTTTCTCTGGGAACCTTCAGTGAATTCATGTACATTTTGTAATATATGGGCAATGCCCCTTCTTGATCCAGAAAAACAAACTTTATTTTATTGGTTGCTGAAGTGTTTCCTGCTGTTAACTTATTTGAGAACTGAAACCACCCACAGACAGAGGATGTCATCTGGAGCTGCCTGACATCTTGTTTTTGGGTGAGTTTTCATTTTCACTTAAGGATCAGCAGTGAGGAAAAGATAGTGATTGTATGGAAAAAGATGACTCATTGGTTCCTGTGTGCATGTGTTCATACCCAAAGTGATTCCATTAGGCCACTGGATGTCTGTTGCCACCAGAACCTGTCTGTCCACTCCATTCATGCCAGACTTCTCAATCCTGGCAGGCTCACCCCAGTCAGACCAGTACAGAAACCTACAGGACCAACACACAAATGTACATTGAGTGGAGTGACAAGGTTCTCATTCAACAGCATCAAAACACAAACATTGCACCCACCCAGACAGTGGATCCACAGCAATGGAGGCTGGTTCTTTGAGGTCTCTGTTGAACAGAACTTTCCGTTTGGTTCCATTGAAATTTCCTACAGATATCGTTTTTGTGCCAAGATCAGACCAGTACAGGTTTTTATAGATCCAGTCCACAGCGATTCCCACAGGAGTCTGAACGTCATCTATCACTTTGCTGTGAGTGGTAGTGTCCCCTCGTTTGTCAAGCACAGTGCTGAGAGGACAAAAGGAACAGACGATGTCACTCAAAAGCAAGTACTGTCCATCCTATTTTACATTAAGATTACAAGTGTTATTTGCTAGTTCTTTGAAATAAAGCCTCTACACACAAAATTATATGTAGGCTGACATAAATTTGAAGACTTAAATCGTCTGCCAAGAAGGCTCCCAAATTTTCCCCACAGGAAATATCTTAATATCCAGCCTTGTAAACAAGACAGCCTGATATGATCAACTTGCTGACTGACAGGTCTCTGAAAACAAACACCGATGCCTCACATCAGTGAATGTTCATTCCATTTATGCTACTCTGGTGTCAATGCTCAGCATTACTGACCCTCATAACAATGACACCCGCAGAGCCGCATTACCACTGTGTATACAGATGGGCTAAACCAAAGCCAAAAAAAAAAAAAAACCACCTAGGCAAACACCTAGGATACATCAAGGTTGGTAGACATCTTAAAGCAAAGACCACACTAAAGTTTCCAGAGAGCAGGCGTTTGTTCCGATTATGTAGATTTAAATGCATTCACATGGCCACTATGTTTCTATCATGTTAGAAAATACATTGAACTGTCAAATCAGATTTTTTTTTGTTTTTTACATGCTTCTGTGTGGCTGTTGTGTGTAATCCACCTGTATATGGCCTTATGACCCAGGTCAGCCCAGAAAATCATCTGTCGGTCAAAGTCTGCATCCAGAGCAACTGCGTTCCTCTGCTGCTCCACAATTTGAGTGTACTCCTTCCTCTCTAGACCCAAACGACGGATGTCACGACGGTTAGTGA